TTCTTTTTTCCCACCTCAGCCACTTAAGTGGCCCGAGGCTGTTAGGAATTGTGGGAGTTGAAGTCTAAAACACCTGGAGGGCCCAAGTTTGCCCATGCCTGTTCTAGTATATGTTAGGACCTGATTTGCCTTCCAACTCAGGGTGTCTGTTGAAACCTCTTCCTGCATTGCATTTTAGTTTTCAGATGCAGTGTCTCACCAAACTACAAAGTCCAGGATTTGAATAGATGTTGTTCTTGCAGTTAAAGTGGAATCACAGCACTCCGTGTAGTGTGTCCCAATTTATAAAATGCTACTTCCCTGTTAAAAACAGAAAGGAGCGTTGGTGGGTTCTTCTACCACATAGGTTTATACTTGGGTCCCATCTACAAAATGATCACGGATGAGCTCCCTCTGTCAGCTCCAGCTTCCCATATGGGGACATGAGAGAAGCCTCCCACAAGGATGGTAAAACATCAAAACATTTGTATGTCCCCTGGACAAGGTCCTTGCAGATGGTCAATTCTCTCACACCAGAAGCAACTTGCAGTTTCTCAAGTTGCTCCTGAAACAAACAAAAAAATCTCCAAAAAGGCTCATTATGTATATGCAATTATACTAACCTCTGGAAAAAAAATCAAAAATCCATAACACTTTTGATCCCAACATAACCTGTACCCTTAGGGCACCAGATCCCATCTGATTTTGGAAACTAATCAGAGTCAGTTGTAGTTAGGACCAGAGCCTTTAGGCTATATTTCTGGTGAAGGAATAGCCCCGTATATTCCTCACCTAAAAACTGTTAAATGAATGGGGTTGCCATAAATTGACAGACAAGTTGATGCACTGTACACATACACATACATTTTTATTGCCACTCCCAATTTTCCAACTTTCCAAGGCTCATGCCTTCCTGCTTCCTGGAGTGTCTCTGTTTTAGTTTACTCTGGCACCGCTCTTCAGTCAGAGCAGACTTAGTGAGAAGGTGAACTCTGGGACTACATCTCCTACAATTCCTCAACCCGCATTCTGGGAGTTGCAGTCCAAAACTATACCACCTCTGAACAGAAAGGGCAAATGCTCTGGAATAACTCGTGGGAAATAGACCAGAATTTTGGGACCGAGCCTCCCAGGTTCCCCCAGCAGCATTTTGGAAGTTGCAGTCCAAAACTATACTAACTCTTCTCCTCACTTTTTGTCCGACACAATGCCACTCCCTACTTTCCAAGGCCTATGAGTGTCTTCTTGGGAGTGATTGTCCAAGGAGAGATAAAGCAGGGTATTAAGGAGGAGGATTAGCACTTTATGAAACATGTCCTTGCTTACATATCAGAAATCTACCTCCGCCCTGTTGGTTTGCTGCAAATTATCTTACATTTTTAACATCCTTGTTTATTATTCATGAGATTTTATTAATTGATCATGAGCCTGAGGTGTTATATTTGTATATTCATGTTTTTAATTTCTGTTATTTTTGGGCTGTTTTATAAGTTTATGTTGATGTTGTTTATTGATTGTCCTTGATCTGATTTGTTGATTGTTTGTTTCTTTCGGCATTTAATGTTTGCCAATTATTTTTTGCTGTAAAAAGCCCTGAGTCCCCTCGGGGAGATAGGGCAGTTAATAAATAAAATTATTATTATTATTATTATTATTATTATTATTATTATTATTTAATAATTTAAAGATCAAACTGCAAAGACTCTGGCACAAGCCGGTCAAGGTGGTATTGTATTGGTGACTAAAATGACCAAGAGTCTGGAGAACAAGCCCTATGAGGAGCGGCTTAAGGAGCTGGGCATTTTTAGCCTGAAGGAGAGAAGGATGAGAGGAGATATGATAGCCATGTATAAATATGTGAGAGGAAGCCACAGGGAGGAGGGAGCAAGCTTGTTTACTGCTTCCATGGAGATTAGGAAAAGGAACAATGCCTTCAAACTACAAGAAAGGAGATTCCATCTGAACATGAGGAAGAACTTCCTGACTGTGAGAGCTGTTCAGCAGTGGAACTCTCTGCACCGGAGTGTGGTGGAGGCTCCTTCTTTGGAAGCTTTTAAACAGAGGCTGGATGGCCATCTGTCACGGGTTATTTGAATGCAATATTCCTGCTTCTTGGCAGGGGGTTGGACTGGATGGCCCAAGAGGTCTCTTCCAACTCCTTGATTCTATGATTCTATTGTATTTTTAAAAGGGCTTGGTCTCATGTTACAGCCGCCCTGAATTCCCATTGGGGAGATGGTGGCGGGGTATAAATAAAGTTTATTTATTTATTTATTTATTATATTAATCCCACAAACAAACATTACATTTTTATTTATATAGATTTATTCAGTTTTTATTATATGTTATGTTTTTAATTGTATTTATGACATTGTAAGCATTGAATTTTGCCCTATTAACTGCCTCGAGTTGTGTACGGGCTGAGAAAGGCAGTATACAAATACAGTAAATAAATAAGTAAATAAATATATACAGGCAAAACGTTTGGAGATAATGCTTCTGGAACATGGCCATACAGGCCGGAAAATACACAGCAACCCAGATTCCACATCCTTGAGCTCTGGCAGCCCAAAAGGGGTGAACTGCCTGGATTCTGAGCTGTTGTAGGTTTTTTTTCGGGCTGTATGGCCATGTTCTAGAGGCATTCTCTCCTGACGTTTCGCCTGCATCTATGGCAAGCATCCTCAGAGGTAGTGAGGTCTGATGGAACGAGGGAAAAGGGTTTATATATCTGTGGAAAGACCAGGGTGGGACAAAGAACTCTTGTCTGCTGGAGATAGGTGTGAATGTTTCAACTGACCACCTTGATTAGCATTTGATAGACTAGCAGTGCCTGGCGCAATCTTTTGTTGAGAGGTGATTAGATGTCCCTGATTGTTTTCCTTCTGCTGTTTTAATTTTAGAGTTTTTTAAAATACTGGTAGCCAGATTTTGTTCATTTTCATGGTTTCCCCCTTTCTGTTGAAATTGTCCACATGCTTGTGGATTTCAATGGCTTCTCTGTGTAGTCTGACATGGTGGTTGTGAGAGTGGTCCAGCATTTCTGTGTTCTCAAATAATATGCTGTGTCCAGGTTGGTTCATCAGGTGCTCTGCTATGGCTTCTGGTTGAAGTAGTCTGCAGTGCCTTTCATGTTCCTTGATTCGTGTTTGGGCGCTGCTGTTTAGTGGTCCCTATGTAGACTTGTCCACAGCTGCATGGTATACGGTAGACTCCTGCAGAGGTGAGAGGATCCCTCTTGTCCTTTGCTGAATGTAGCATTTGTTGGATTTTCTTGGTGGGTCTGTAGATAGTTTGTATGTTGTGTTTCCTCATCAGCTTCCCTATGCGGTCAGTGGTTCCCTTGATGTATGGCAGGAACACTTCTCCTCTGGGTGGATCTTCGTCTTTACTCTTGTTGCTTGTTCTCGGTCTTGCAGCTCTTCTGATATCATTGGCCTGGAGAGCCCAGTTGAGGTGGTTCAGTTCATCTTGAAGGAGGTGGGGTTCGCAGATTCTTTTTGCACGGTCTGCCAAGGCTTTAATGGCGCTTCACCCCCCCCCCATTTTTCCTAGTTCCAACAGACCTCACTACCTCTGAGGATGCTTGCCATAGATGCAGGCGAAACGTCAGAGAGAATGCCTCTAGAACATGGCCATATAGCCCGAAAAAACCTACAACAACCCAGTGATTCCGGCCATGAAAGCCTTCGACAATAGATTGACCACCTTGATCAGCATAATAATAATAATAATAATAATAATAATAATAATAATAATAATCCTTTATTTATACCCTGCTACCATCTCCCGAAGGACTCGGTGCGGCTTACAAGAGGCCAAGCCCAAAGTACATCATTAACAAAAACACAACAACAACAATACAATGCAACAATAAATAAACTCATAACAAAGCAATAGAACAATAACAAAAACACGACACTGTTAAAAAACCTGTGGAAGGGCCAAATGTATTGGTTAAAATTCTAAAAATGGTGGGCATGTCCAGGTGAGGTAGGATGGATATTTGATCATAGAATCATAGAATCAAAGAGCTGGAAGAGACCTCATGGGCCATCCAGTCCGACCCCCTGCCAAGAAGCAGGAATATTGCATTCAAATCACCCCTGACAGATGGCCATCCAGCCTCTGTTTAAAAGCTTCCAAAGAAGAAGCCTCCACAACACTCCAGGGCAGAGAGTTCCACTGCTGAACGGCTCTCACAGTCAGGAAGTTCTTCCTCATGTTCAGATGGAATTCTCTCTTGTAGTTTGAAGCCATTGTTCCGCGTCCTAGTCTCCAAGGAAGCAGAAAACAAGCTTGCTCCCTCCTCCCTGTGGCTTCCTCTCACATATTTATACATGGCTATCATATCTCCTCTCAGCCTTCTCTTCTTCAGGCTAAACATGCCCAGCTCCTTAAGCCGCTCCTCATAGGGCTTGTTCTCCAGACCCTTGATGATTTTAGTTGCCCTCCTCTGGACACATTCCAGCTTGTCAATATCTCTCTTGAATTGTGGTGCCCAGAATTGGACACAATATTCCAGGTGTGGTCTAACCAAAGCAGAATAGAGGGGTAGCATGACTTCCCTGGATCTAGACACTATGCTCCTATTGATGCAGGCCAAAATCCCATTGGCTTTTTTTGCCGCCACATCACATTGTTGGCTCATGTTTAACTTGTTGTCCACGAGGACTCCAAGATCTTTTTCACACGTACTGCTCTCAAGCCAGGCATTGTCCCCCATTCTGTATCTTTGCATTTCGTTTTTCCTGCCAAAGTGGAGTATCTTGATAGCCTGGCAGTGCCTGGAGCAATCTTTTGTTGAGGGTTGATTAGATGTCCCTGATTGTTTTCCCTCTGCTGTTTTAATTTTAGAGGGTTTTTAAAATACTGGTAGCCAGATTTTGTTCATTTTCCTGGTTTCCCCTTTTCTGTTGAAATTGTCCACATACTTGTGGATTTCAATGCCTGGATTCTCCACCAGTCAGTGGAGACGTCCCTCTATTTGCCGCTAGGGGGAGGCTCCTCGCTATGCTTTGCCTGCGTGGACTTTTCCTGGCGGCCACGATGCCAGCCTTCCGCTAGGGCGCTGCGCTCAGTTTCTCTTTTTCTGCACCGAACACGAACGGGTTGGGGTGCTTCCCTCCAAGCCTCTCTCTCTCTCTCTCTCTCTCTTTCTCGGGGGTGGTGGCAACCTTCTCGGCGGAGAGAAGGAGTGGGGGAAAAGTTGGGAGCTGCAGCCTTCCCAGGGATTGGCATCTCCCTTTCGGAAGAGGAGATCGTGGGAGTCTGCGAAGAGAGATCCGTGCGCTTTGGACGCCCGAAGGATGCGCCCAGCTGGGGTCCTCCGGCGGGAGAAGCTCTTCAAGGTACCCCTCCCCATTCCCTAGCCTTTTTGCTCGTCCGCCTCCCCCAAAAGTTTCCGAAGTTTGGGGCGAAGGCGCCTCTAGATTCACCCAGGATGTTGGGCTTTCCTCCGGGATTTTTGGAGAGCGCGCAGTGAAGGGAAGGAAGGCAGACCTCGGCTCGGGCAAGGCTTGGGGAAGGAGGGCGGCGATGGGGGACTCGGGGGGACTTTTGGGCTCCTCCTCGGTGTCCGCGCCTCCGCGGGTCCACAGCGCCATCGTGGAGCGGCTCCGGGCGCGGATCGCCGTCTGCCGGCAGCACCACCTCAGCTGCGAGGGACGCTACGAGCGCGGGAGGGCGGAAAGCGCGGATCGAGAGCGGGAGAACACCTTGCAGCTGCTCAGCCTCGTCCAGCAGGGACCCGCCGCCAGGAAAGGCAGCAAGCACGGCGGCGGCGGCAAGGCGGCTCATGCCCTGGCGCACGGTCCCGCGGCGCCCGCTAACGCAACAGCGCCCCCTGCGGCGGAATACTTTCACGCCCCGCCGCTGGTCAGCAACGGGACAGCCGCCAATGGACGGAGTGGGCTCAATGGGGAGCAGCAGCAGCAGCAGCCACACAGTGCAGGGGAGCAAAGGAACTCCGCCCTCATCGCTGTAAGTCCCCTCTCTTTATTACTCCATCCTTTGGTAACTTCATGAAGCACACCTGCACTGAGCACTTCATGTGCTTCTGGTCAATCGCAAACCTGACCGGGGTATAGGGTGGCAACCTGTGCTGGACGGGGTTACACTCCCCCTGAAGTCACAGGTCCGCAGTTTGGGAGTCCTCTTGGATTCATCGCTCACGCTTGAGGCTCAGGCGTCGGCGGTGTCTGGGAGGGCTTTCGCACAACTGAGACTCGTGCGCCAACTGCGACCGTACCTCGCGAAGGCGGATCTGGCCGGAGTGGTCCATGCCTTGGTCACCTCCAGATTGGATTACTGCAATGCGCTCTACGTGGGGCTGCCCTTGAATCATAGAATCATAGAATCAAAGAGTTGGAAGAGACCTCATGGGCCATCCAGTTCAACCCCCTGCCAAGAAGCAGGAATATTGCATTCAAATCACCCCTGACAGATGGCCATCCAGCCTCTGTTTAAAAGCTTCCAAAGAAGGAGCCTCCACCACACTCCGGGGCAGAGAGTTCCACTGCTGAACGGCTCTCACAGTCAGGAAGTTCTTCCTCGTGTTCAGATGGAATCTCCTCTCTTGTGATTTGAAGCCATTGTTCTGCGTCCTAGTCTCCAGGGCAGCAGAAAAGAAGCTTGCTCCTTCCTCCCCGTGGCTTCCTCTCACATATTTATACATGGCTATCATATCTCCTCTCAGCCTTCTCTTCTTCAGGCTAAACATGCACAGCTCTTTAAGTTGCTCCTCATAGGGCTTGTTCTCCAGACCCTTGATCATTTTAGTCGCCTCCTCTGGACACATTCCAGCTTGTCAATATCTCTCTTGAATTGTGGTGCCCAGAATTGGACACAATATTCCAGGTGTGGTCTAACCAAAGCGGAATAGAGGGGTAGCATTACTTCCCTAGATCTAGACACTAGGCTCCTAGGCTGCCCTTGAAGACGGCTCGGAAGCTCCAACTGGTCCAACGATCAGCAGCCAGGATGCTAACTGGGGCCCCTTACAGAGAGAGGTCAACCCTCCTGTTCAAGGAGCTCCACTGGCTGCCGTTTATATTCCGAGCCCAATTTAAGGTGCAGGTGCTTACCTACAAAGCCCTGAACGGTTTGGGACCAGCCTACCTGCGTGACCGCATTTCCATCTACGAACCCACGCGTTCACTTCGGTCATCTGGAGAGGCCCTGCTCGTGATCCCACGGCGTCGCAAGCGCGCTTGGTGGGGACGCGGGACAGGGCCTTTTCCGTAGTGGCCCCCCAACTCTGGAACACCCTCCCCAAAGACCTTAGACAGGCCCCTTCATTGGCTATCTTCAGAAAGAACTTAAAAACCTGGCTTTTCCGATGCGCCTTCCCAGATTAGGAAATCTCCACTACCGAGTCCCACAAGCACTTTACCAGAACCAATGATTGCTGCACATCGCACTTGCCCTAGAAACCCTTTATACACCTCCTGTCAAATCAGCACTTTTAATCCTTGTACCCACCTTTTGGCCCGGCCCAGTTTTATTGTGTTTTAATGTACTGTGCCTGTTGTTTACTTTGCTTATTTTGTTTTAATTGTTTGATTTGCTTGATTGTATTGTTATGTTGTGTTGTTGAGGCCTCGGCCTGTGTAAGCCGCATCGAATCCTCTGGGAGATGCTAGCGGGGTACAAATAAAGTTTAATAATAATAATAATAATGTGGTTTGGAGGTAGGTGGTTAGAAGGTAGGGTTGACAGCATTGTGTTTAGATCAGGCACGGGCAAACTTGGGCCTTCCCACCAGTTCTAGTATCTAGATCCAAGAAAGTCATACTAAAGGTTAAGTTTTTCCCCTGACATTAAGTCCAATCGTGTCCGACTCTGGGGGTTGGTGCTCATCTCCATTTCTAAGCCAAAGAAGAGCCGGCGGTGTCCATAGACACCTCCAAGGTCATGTGGCCTGCATGACTGCACCCTGACATTAAGTCCAATTGTGTCCGACTCTGGGGATTGGTGCTCATCTCCATTTCTAAGCTGAAGCAGAGCCGGCGTTGTCCATAGACACCTCCAAGGTCATGTGGCCTGCATGACTGCACCCTGACATTAAGTCCAATTGTGTCCACCTCTGGGGGTCGGTGCTCATCTTCATTTCTAAGCCGAAGGAAGAACCAGCGATGTCCATAGACACCTCCAAGGTCATGTGGCCTGCATGACTGCATGGAGTGTCGTTACTTTCCCGTTACCTTCTTCAAATAAAATATGCAGAAAACAGCACTCTCTAACTTGACGCCTTCCAAAGGTCTTGGGCAGGGGTCCTCAAACTTTTTAAACAGAGGGACGGGTCACAGACATCAACCTGTTCGAGGGCCGGATTATAATTTTAATAAAACATGAATTAATTCCTATGCACACTACACATATCTTATGGGTAGTGCAAAAAAACACTTGAAAACAATACAGTAATTAAAATGAAGAACAATTTTAACAAATATAAACTTATTAGTATTTCAGTGGGAAGTGTGAGCCTGCTTTTGGCTGATGAGATAGGATTGTTGTTGTTGTTGTGTGCTTTCAAGTCGTTTCAGAGTTAGATTGACCCTGAGCGAGGGCCGGGTAAATGACCTTAGAGGGCTGTATCCGGCCCCCGGGCCTTAGTTTGAGGACCCCTGGTCTTGGACATTGATCTACTCACATTTGCATGTTTTCAAACTGCTAGGTTGGCAGAAGTCATGCTGTTGTTGTTCATTCATTCAGTCGTTTCCGACTCTTCGTGACCTCATGGACCAGCCCACACCAGAGCTCCCGGTTGGCCGTCACCACCCCCCAGCTCCTTCAAGGTCAATCCAGTCACTTCAAGGATCCCATCCATCCATCTTGCCCTTGGTCAACCCCTCTTCCTATTTCCTTCCATTTTCCCCAGCATAATTGTCATGCTACTCGTGCTCTATTCTGCCTTGGTCAGACCACACCTAGAATCACACTGTGTCCAATTCTGGGCACCATGATTGAAGGGAGATGTTGACAAGCAGGAATGTGTCTAGAACAGGGCAACTAAAATGATCAAGGGTCTGGAGAACAAGCCCAGTGAGGAGCGGCTTAAAGAGCTGGGCATGTTGAGCCTGCAGAAGAGAAGGCTGAGATGAGACATGATGGCCATGGATAAATATGTGAGGGGAGGAGGGAACAGGCTTGTTTTCTGCTGCCCTGGTGACTGGGACGCAATGAAACAATGGCTTCAAACTACAGGAAAGGAGATTCCACCTGAACATGTGTCCAGAGGAGGGTGACTTAAATGATCAAGAGTTTGGTGAACAAGCCCTATAAGGAGTGGTTTAAAGAGCTGGGCATGTTTAGCCTGCAGAAGAGAAGGCCAAGAAGAGACATGATGTCCATGGATAAAAATGTGAGGGGAAGTCATAGGGAGGAGGGAGCAAGCTTGTTTCTGCTGCCCTGGAGTCTAGGACATGAAACGATGGTTTCAAACTACAGGAAAGGAGATTCCACCTGAACATTAGGGAGAACTTCCTCACTGTGAGAACTGTTCAGCAGTGGAACTCTCTGCCCCAGTGTGGTGGATTCCAGGTGTGGCCTGACCAAGGCAGAATAGAGGGGTAGCATGTCTTCCTTGGATCTAGACACTAGACTCCTATTTATGTAGGACAGGATCCCATTGGCTTTTGAAGCTGCTGCATGACATTGTTGGGTCATGTTTAACTTGTTGTCCACGAGGACTTGAAGATCTTTTTCACATGTACTGCTTCCCCAGGTCGTTGTTCCTTAATAGCAGACAGCTTATGGGTCACTGAGTCTTGTTGCAGAGTTTATTTGGTAATTGATGATCGCTGGGCATGGAGATACTTTGTTTCTGTTTGATGCTTTCAGCAGAAAATGATGCAAACAGACTTCTTTTAGAAATAACAAGTTTTGTTTACTGACGACTTCGTGGATTTAAAGATAAAGGCCCATTTCTTGTCGAGGGTTAAAAACTTCATTAATGTTTCAGAGAGTTTGTATCTTGAATTTAGAATCTTTAACAGTTTCTTCACAAACTATGTTGCGTTGTACAGCTCTCTTTAGTAAGAGTTTACTACAGTTTCTAACTTCCTAACATGAGCTTCTGCACTCTGACAGACTTCTAGACTCAAGCTCATTCAAGGCACGACAACACTTCTCCAACAGCCATTCCTCAACCGACATTCCCTAACTGTCATCCTGTTTAAAACCAGAACATTCTAAACTGTCACTGAGTTGGTCACGTGACCTGCAGCCCCTCCCTCTGCTTTAGGTATATAGAGAAAAGGAAACTACAACTCAAATAAGACATATACTTCAGCTTATAAAATGACACATTACAAAACAGACAAACATCATATAGAGGAGGTTTGAGAAGGTTGCTTCCTCCAACAGTTTGGGATGGAGTTTAGCCCCTTGGTTATTTTAGATCAAAACCCAGAATGGATTCCCCACCCAAATATCGTGGAAGTCACCAGTCACTGTTCAAAAATATCAGTAGAAATGGGAGAGGCTTACATTCTGAAAATGCTAAATCAGGCATGGACAAACTTCAGCCCTCCAGGTGTTTTGGACTTCAACTCCCACAATTCCTAACAGCCTCAGGCCCTTTCCTTTCCCCCCTCAACATCTAAAGCAGAAAATGAAAGGGAAAAGGAAAAGGAAAGGGCCTGAGGCTGTTAGGAGTTGTGGGAGTTGAAATCCAAAACAACCGGAAAGCCAAAGTTTACCCATGCTTGTGCTAAATAATATAAGGTTTGCTACTGTTTTATAAACAACTAGCTGTACCCACCATAAGTTGCTGTGGCCAACCTTCCCTCCCTTTTTCTCTCCTCCTTTCTTTCTCTCCTACATTCCTTCCCTCTTTTTCTTTCCCTTTTTCTTTCCTTCTTCTTTCTTCGTTCTCTGTTTTTTTCCTCCCTTCCTTTGCTCTTTGGTTCCATCCTTCTTTCTCTTCTTTTCTTTTTATCACTTCCCCTGCCTTCATTCCTTCCTTCTTCTCTTCCTTC